TCCCATTTGGTCGTTATTCATTGTGTATATGTAGAGAACCACCACACCATGTTCCACTGCAGCTATTACGTGACAACGTAGTTATAACGAAGAGGTGGTACAGCTTAGTGGTAGAGCGGGCTTAACATTTAACATGCCTAAGGCCTTCCAGTCAAATCCTCAGTTCCCAGAATTAAAAATTTAAAAGAAAGAAAGCGAATGAGGAAGGAAGCAACTTTGCATGTGAAGTCGGGAGAGGCCATTCCAACATTCTAACTGAGGAGTGAGAGGTGAAAAGTCACCTGACGGGCAAAAGCCAAAAGAAAGCATTCCAGGTCCAGCAGGCATAGAGTCCCTGAGTAAGAACTTGGTGTGGTCCAGAAGCAGAGAGGAAAAATGTGCTGAGCATCCTCACTGAGAGTGAAGCTGGTAGAAATGGGACCGGCTCACACAAGAACTCCCACATGTGGCACAGATTTAAACTACTGTAAATGCACTAATAAATGAAACACGATCTTGTGAGAACGTATGAACTTGACCTAGAGTAGGCATGGGAAAAGGCTCCCAGGGAAGGAAGGTTTGAGAAGAGGTCAACGTGAGACCACTGAAGGGTGAGGGAACCGGCAGCTGCAAGGGCCCTGAGACAGAATCACGTAACACCCAGAAGAGCATGTAAAGAGCTTTGAAATAGGCCAACGTGATTCCTGAATATCCTGACACACTTTTTCCAGGCTTCTGTGCCCTTCATCGTCTTTGACATACTTTGTGTCTATATACACATGTATACATTTGAAATAGTTAAGATCTCACTAGTTCTCTCATTATTCAGAATGTAAAAATAATCATTTCATTGAGACATGTTCTTTATTTATGTGTGAGAGTTGTGGGAGCCCACCTGAGATGACCATTCAAACACAGTTTGCAGCTAACCGAAAGTCTTTATTCCAGTCTTCTGGGACTATACTCCGGTATTCAGGTTCCAAGTGTAGGAAAAGAGTGTGTAGGATGGGGGGTTTTTTAAAGCAAAAATTACATCCTGGTATGTTGCTCTGCAACAGAAGGGGGGAGATTTTGTGCAATCAAGCAGCTTAACAGAAGCTAAAATAAGCTAACTGGGCATCTTGAATTACAGTTTCTAGACTAGAGTTGGGTAATTTTCCACAGGATTCCACCAAGGAGATCAAATTCTACTTCAGCCTAAAATGACCTCAGTAAGGATACATACAACATGGAGGAACCTCTGCACTGTCTTGCCCTGTCACAATATGAGGAATTATAAAAAGCCAAAATAACACCAGACAAATAATAGTACCCCAATAAAATTTAAATACAGATAATAATAATTTTGTTTGTATAAATGTCTCAAACATCACAGGGGACATATTCTTAATGCAAAAGTGCATTTCCTTATTATTGAAAATTCAAGCTTGCCTGAGTGAAGTCTGTTTTCTTAGCTAAATCACGGGCTGGAGAGCAGAGAGAAGGACCTTTCATTTAGCCTTTGGCTTCTTCTTGGAGGCTTCATTACTTGTTTGCTCTTAATTAGCTGAAATGACCACACATGCCCCAAAGGGGCAGGAACCGCTAGCCTGTTCCCAGTGATATGCCTCACTGAACTTGAGAAGTCTCTGCCAACCCTACCCACCCAGAAACTGCTAACTAAGGAACATAGGAGTTGCCATTGTTCCTACTGGACTGGGAAGCGGAAGTTTACAGGCTACTTAGCTTGTCCCATCCCAGTCTAGCTAGTAAAAATGCTGTCTTGTTTCCTACTTGCCTGTAAGAGATGTCCCTTCTGATCTAGGCCCTGCCCTATATGAAATGGCAGACTATGGACACCCCCATGGAGGGCCTCACCCTCCCTGGGGGAATGAGGGGATAAGGGGGAGGGGGGTTGGGGGAAGGGCACGGGAGGAGGGGAGGGAAAGGGAGAGGGACCTGGAACTGACTTGTGAAGCAACCTTGTTTCTTATCTAAATTTAAACTGGAAAATAAAATAAAAATAAATAAATAAATAATTTTAAAAAAAAGAGATGTCCCTTCTGCCCTACGGTGTCAAGTGCTGTGTAGACGTAGGCTTGAATAGAAAGCAAGAGCAATATAGGAAGTGATGTCCCAATGAATACATGAAGTAGGACATGTATACCGCCTCAGATCTCATCAACCTTCTCCTCCATCTCAGCTCCTTCCCTCCCCCCTCCCTCAAGGTCTCCTTCCACCACGGAAGTCTGTTGCTTCCTTTTCTTTCCCTCCCCCATCTGAGATACCACCCTTTGTCTGTAGCTCTTTGCCGTAGTCCGTACCCCCTGCACAACTGCAGTTAGACACCCCGCAGGGTCTTCCTTCTCCATCAGATCTACAGAGGCTCGCTCTTTCTACTAATTCCTAGTTGGGCTGGGCTGGGTTGGTGCACAGGGAAATGGCCTTCTTTATCAGCTAACACTTCAGAGGCTCATCACAATTGGATGCAAGCAGGCAAGGCCAGGCATGATGTTCGTCTGAGCTTTGAGAGCATTGCATATTCCCACCCACTAGGCCACGGCAAATGAGGATGGTCCCCTGTGTCTGTGCGAAGCATCGGCATTAACAACCATCGCATCCTCAGCATTAACATCCTCCAGAGCATTATTGTCCTCAGTTAAGATGGTAGGCTACAGGGAGGCCACATCTTGAAGTCACTCCATTCTCACTCTATGACACGAAGAGCTAAAATGTCAGCCAACGTTCCTTACCGAGAACCAGCTTCCAGAATAGGATTTACAAGTGTAAGATCTCAAAAGAGGGCAAGTAGAAGGTTGGTGGTCAGCAATGCTTGGACGGCAGGGAAGAATATCCAATCTCATAGACATCTATAGTATCAAACCTATGCAAGGACATTTTAAACTTCAGGCTAAATGCTCTTCCGTTCCTCTGCCCATCCCTGTGATACAATGTGATAACTCAGAAGACTGTCTTCCCACTGAGACAACGGGACTGTATGTGGGCCTCTCCCTAGTACTACACAAGAGAAACGCTTACAGAATGGAAGACACCCCCTCCCCGGGAGTTCGGATCATCTTCTCAGCTCTCCAAGCCCAGAGCCCTGCCGGCTCGCTCTCAGAAGAGTGGGTTTCTTTGCAAATGTGGAGCAGGATGGCTGGCCTGGTACCCACCGCCTGCAGTAGAAGCAGCAGCCTGGCAGACAGCTTCTCCCCAGCCGGAATCAATGCTGGGGGCCTAATGGGAGAGCGACGTCCCCCGGGAGTATCCTTGTCTCCTTAAGCAACGCCTGTGCACACTAGCTTTAGCCTTCCACTTCTCTAATATTTCTCTGCCATGAATTGGCAGGCACAGCATGCGGTCAAGGAGCCATTACAAGCCCTCTCAAACGAGATCTTTTTTTTTTTCCCAGAGACTTAATTTCTTAAAATGTTAGAGTGATTGTTCCCGTGGAAAGTAGGACAGTCTCTTTTTGAGCCTGCCAGACAAAAACAAAACTAAACAAACCCAAAAGTACAGCCTGTAAAAGGATAGCAGGCGCCTGGAGGCCCTCCTCCCCACGCTGCGGTGCCCTGAGCTCTAATGAGCGCAGACCCGTGTCCTCCCGAAACCAGGCTGCAGCCAATCTGTGTTCTCCACTGTGTATTGAAGCCGGTTGTTTAAGGGATGGCCTAGATGTGTGCCAGGAATAGGATTTTAATCCACACGACCGCAATCACGGCTGCCTTCGGGGGAACTCAAAGCTTCTGTAACACAGCTGATGAGGTCTTTGCACACCCTGCTTCTAAGAGACAGGGAAAGGCTGTCACAGGTACCTGCAGAAGGGGACTCACCTAGGCGTTGGTAAAGAAGACACTGTCCCCGCACCCACCCAAGCCCATTTCAAGTACCTAAAACTACTGGTAGTCTCCTCTAAGCTTGTGTACTAGAGGGCGCAGATGACACCTGGGCTTTGACGAAGCCTGGGTCCTCACAGCCTTCCAAGGAGCTAGGCTGCCTTTAGGTAGAAGCCTCAAACCATTAGAACTCTGCAACTAGGTCCACAGCACTCAGATCCACCCCAGAGGAGTGCGACATCCACAGCAAAGAGATGGAGAGAGAAGAGAGCTTGTCATAGTGAAGAAGGGGAATGGAGGGTGATGAGGGGAGGTTGACTCCTGGGGAAAGTGCTCTGGAGACCAAAGGGAGGGTCTAGGCAACCCAAGGAGATGCTGTGCTGGGGAATGGACAGCAGAAACAGAAAGGGAACCAGAGTCGTTAGGACAGCCACTGGTGCCTGGGCAAAGCAGAGGTACCGCCATGGTGCTGAAGAAGTCTCTGAGAAGCACATGTATGGGGGCAGGGGGACACGGGGGGGGGGATTCCCAAAAGGTGAGGATAAACATTCAGGATCCAAGAATTCCTCTACATATTTAAAGGATAGTTTCTAAAAAGGGAAAGAAATGACAGCCAGCAGTACACCCTTCTAGAAGTCCTTCTGTCAACAAAGCTGGTGACACTCCCCCGTTTCATTCTTATTCTGACTGACAAGCAGAAAGGCAGAAAGAGGGAAAGCAGGAGGGAGGACAGGAGGGGTTGTCAGGAACTTCTAAAGGCTTCATTTGTCTGGGCAGGGGTGGACTCTGCTTTGGCTTTCAAGTACATGACCCCTCTGGTACCACCCAGATTTTCTGGGGAGGGTCCCGAATCAGCCCTGCTAAAGCGGGGGCCTCTAATCAGACATTATGCGACCTCACATTCATTGTTTCCCTCTCTGAGTGTGTGGTTTCCTCTCTGCTGGCAACTGAACAAACTGAAGAATGTTAGACATGTTGGCTATGGTTACCATGAACTGAAAGTTTCACCACCCACCAACTCCCCAAATCATAGACTAAAGCCATGATTTGTTCCCAGAGGTAAAACTTTTGAATCACAGTGAGGTCATGGGGCTGAACCCTCAGATATGAGACCAGTGTCCTTTAAAAGGGGAAGAGACACACTGTCACCTCTTAGTGAGTTTGCAGCAAGAAGGGGTCATTACAAACCAGGACGTAGGTCCTTACCAGGATTCAAACAGCCAGCATCTCAGCCATTGATTTTCCAGCCTCTAAAAATACAAGAAATAAATTACTATTGTGTAAGTCACCAAAGCTAAGACTGCTTAGTGACAGCAGCCTAAGACCATTCACACCTACTGAGTAATGGATCAATGATCTGTTGCAGTCTGTACCCCCTCTGCAGCCTATACCGTCTCTGTCCACCTCTGCTTGTGCAGGACAGTCACGACAGCGTTCTTCCACTAGGCCCCTCTAGTGAACAAGAACTTTCACACCCATCTTTTAACTTAGGAGGTGTTGGAAAATGTGGAATCTTAAATCCTGGGATCACAAATCCCAGAGGACCAGGGGTTCAAGGACAGTCTGGGCTACGCAGTAGGACGCTGTTCCAACAAAACAAAATAAACCAACTAAAACAATCTTTGAAATAATAACATTCAGTGTGGATGAGGACATGGGAACAGTGGTATTCTCTCACACTCTTGCTGGAAATACCATGTGATACAAACTTTCTGAGAAATAACTTGTTAAAGAGAACATGTATCAAGTTCCACAGTAACTGTTTTATATATTCAGTTTTAAGGGAATTAGGAGAGCTGTTTAGGAAGATTAAAAATGGATACTCATTAATAACGATGCATAAGAGAAAAGACGAGATACTTACAAGTCTAAAAATACATCTGTTGACTAAGTAACTTTAATAATATCTGAAGATGACAGTATAGCTTATTACATGTTGCATCAGAGAAGACTTGAAGATGTATAGGATACTCTAAACATAGTTTAAGTGAAGCAACAGGAATTGTTTATAAAGTTCTGAATGCTTGTGATGGTCAGATATAAATAGTCTTGCTTATCATGGCACTTGCTGTGGGACAAAAGACCTGGAATTAACTGCTACTTTGCTTTACTTTCTTAAAAATCATTGTATTAGTTACTTTGCACATTTCTGCAACAAAACACCCAACAAAGTTGATAGAAGGAAGGGTTCATCCTGGTTTATAGGCACAGTCCATTGTCACAGCTAGACAGAGGAGTGGCTGGTGTATGTACAGTCAGGAAAGGAAACTGAGCACTAATGCATATAGACTTCCCCTTTCTACACAGCCCAAGACCCCAGCTCATGGGATGGCACCGTCGGTACTTGAGGGTGGGTCTCCTCACCTCAAGCACCTTAACTAGGCAATTCCTCAAAGACATACCTGGGACTTGTCTCTTCAGTAGTTCTTAACCCTGTCAAATTGACAATATTATCCATCACAACTATCTATATTGAATCTTAGTCATAAAATGAAAGTTTAATTTCTCATACTTGTACAATACTCTTGTGTCACTCGCCAATTCTTTGCCAAAGGCCAAACATTCCCTTTTGTAGGTATTCTCCAGCCTCAGATCCAGGTTGGAGCTCAGGCCCTTCCTATTATTGTGACCATCATTCCTACTGTCTTGAAAAACTAAGTCTCTTTAAGGGCTTTTAAATTTTGGTTGGAGGGATTCCAAAAGTAGGAACTATGCCTTGGCCATTTCTGTATCCTGATGCAAAGTACATGCTCGGTGAATGTCAATTAATAGACAAGTGTGACCAGCCTCATTCCCTGCGCCTAACTATCACAATTAGCACTTAGCCTCTCCTGTCAACAGATGAGGGAAACCTCATAGCCGCAACAGATGGCGAAGATTTTCATCGTTTCCTGTTTTTGTTTTGTTTTAAGGACCCACTTGATCCTTAGATCCTGGGAATGATCACAGTCACACCTGCCCTTCATCCATCAGGGAGGGACAAGTCAGAAGGTCCTGAGGCATAGGGAGATCATCATGCACCCGGCACATTCAAAGGTGAAAGCACATGTCGGTCTCTTAGCCATCTGTGCTCTCTCATCCTCCCGGCTACAACTGGCAGATGGTTTCCAATCAAGAACGTCGGCCCAGTTGTTGGGTCTGCACACCGCGCTTTATACAAAGTAGCAATCCAAAACTCCCAACCAGACTGGTGGGGAAGCCATCCAGGCTCCTGCGTGTTCACAAAGGGCCAGACCCAAGGAAGACAAAGAAGACTGCTTCCTGCCGCATGCCTTGGCCAGCCTCTGCCATATGGATGCAGAGAGTGGCAGGATGCCCAGCAGCTGCTCCTAGCTGAGTCATATATATGAACAAACTCAGGGAAATATGGCTGGGCAGAGCCCACCCACCTGGAAGTCTCCAGACCTTCAAATCCACTAATGCTGCACCACCACCAACAGAATGCATTACCTAGAAACACTGCCATGTGTACCCAAAAATATTTGTAAGTGCATATTGATGACAACAATGTTAAAGGTTAAAGCATCACAGCAACTTAAGTGGCATGTAAATGTAAAAGAAGACAAGGCCTGTCATGAAATCATGTCCACCTATAGAAGAACAGCCGGGCAGCAGGCAGCGCTTATGGAGCACAGATTCCAGATCTATTCTAAGTGTACCGCATACAGTGTTAGCCCCACCCGTGCCCGGTGAGGTTACCATTATTAGACCCATTCTACAGATAAAGAGCCTGAGCAGTTAAGTCAGCTTCCCTGAATCTCTCAGCTAAAGCACAATGGAGTTCAGATTTAGGACCGGGTGGTATGCCACCCCACTCAACGGCATTCACACACACACACCACACAGTTCCAAAATGTGGGCAGGACCAAAGTCAGGCGCATGGCCAGTCCAACGTAGATCCTCCTCCACTAGCAAAAATGTGATTTTAATTAATATGCCAATATAGAATACTAAGTACAATGCATCATTAAACAACAACAAAAACTCAACAACCTACACATTGCCATTTTTACTCTAGGGACAGGGACAGAAATAAACACAGAGCTGGGTACCTGCTGTTGCCCGGCTGACATGGGTACCTCTGGAAAGAAACCAGAATGGGCGTTGGAAGGACTGAGGAGGTAGGCAGGGTTCATCTCAGACCACTCAGGACTGTTTGGATGTTACGAGCATGTATCCCTTTAGTAACTCTGAAAAGAAAATGAATAAGAGCAAGCAAGCCCATACGGTGGCCTGTTGAGAAGCAGACTTTGTGGGTGGGACCTCTGGCTCAGGGGGTCTACCTCCCCCACACTAATGCTTCTACTACTGAAAAGGAAGGAAACCACAGAGGGTACAGCCTAGAGCAGAAGGGAGTAGCTCCTTCAGGCCGAAGTGCTACTCCCTAACCACAGCTTCTCCTGTAAGCTTTAGGTCCACCTCTCCCTGAAGGTGGTTGGCAAGTTGGTGAATGCTTTAGTATCGAGAGCTTCCAGCTGGAGTCATCCTTCTGTGATTCCAGCACCCGGAAAGGGGAAGCAGGAGAATTAGAAGGACAAGGCCAGCCTCGGAGACAATGGTTTGGGGGCGAACCTGTGCACTACATGAGACCTGTCAAAAACAAATCACAAAAACAAAAACCTCTGTGTTGGGCCCAGGCTGTGGTGGTGCATGCCTTTAATCCCAGCACTCGGGAGGCAGAGGCAGGGGGATCTCTGTGAGTTCAAGACCAGCCTGGTCTACAAGAGCTAGTTCCAGGAGAGCCTCCAGAGCCACAGAGAAACCCTGTCTCGAAAAACTCTGTATTGGGTTCAGACGGGGTATAATAGCTACTTCACGATTGTCTCTAAAAAACAAATGAGAAGGACCAAATGAGATGGACCCTGGGAGTGGGATTGACAGTAAAGATGACTTCTGACCACGGGATTGCTCAAGAAGCCAATCCCTGTCCCTCATCCAGTGTTCTCACCATTGAGCCACACTGTCCTCTTTGCTCAGTCTATGCTTAGATTGCAAAAGAAAAAAATAAGACCCAGTCAAACAGACCACCTGTGTGTACAGTCACATTCATAATGCCCTTGAACCTGTGCTGCTCCGGCCTCTATCCCAAGGCTACCCTCAAGCTTTTCCTTTAAAGGAGCTACAACCTATAACTGTGTCACCATGTGTCTTAGGAACCCTCCCACCAGGGTGCCGCCTGACCAAACCCTCCACAGCTGTCCTGCAGTACACTGTGGCCTCCTTGCTGGATACATCTGTCTCAGTTCCCTCAGCAGTAAGAGATGAACCATGGAGAACCTCTGCCCCCTTGTGCACCAGGCTGTTGACATGACATGATGGAGATGGACACCTATGGACGAAAATGCTCACTGTCTACCTCTATCCATTCTCTCCCCCTGCCTTTGGCAATAACAGTGCAAACTCACTAAGCACACCCTGCCCAGCTGAGGGCCACAGTTCGCGCTTTCCCTACAGCTCCACGTGGCCACGCAATGACTTCTTGACGCACTGCAAAGAGAAGCGATATATGCAACTTTAAAGTCTCTAAGCCATTTTCACGCTTCCTTCTTCTGTCTTCCTGGAAGGTGGCTACAGTGATGGCAGGCAGTCTTTGACCCCAGCACATGGTTGATAAATAAAATATAGGGTATCTAGGTCCCACGCCATCTCGGGAAACAGCTGCCTACCATCTCTGGGCCATTTGCCAGCTCACACTTCCATAAAACACAGTCCTCTTGTTGTATGGAATTCACTGATACCGTGTTCTTTGAGCAGCAGAGCCAGGCCCTTCACTAATGCAACCTCCCTTGACTGTGTAAGTGGCCAAGCAACATTGATCTTCTTCTTTTAAGTGCACCTGCTATGTTGACTTGACAGCCCATCTTGCCACATACCAGGGGCCCTCAAATGCAAAGGCCTACAGCTTCTGCCTCCAAGGTTGCTGGAGTTAGAGTGCCACTCGCTCACGTGAGTCAAGCTGTGAGAGTTGCTCCAAGCATCCCTCTGGCAGAGCTCCTTCTGTTTCTCCAGCAAGAGCCCCTGATAGCTCACTTTCTTGAAAACTGAAAGTTCAGCTGGGCATTTGAAAGCTTGGTAAATACCAGGTCACTGGCCCTGTGGTAAGAGCCTTGTGTGTGCTATTTTCCCGTCCTGATTCAGAGTGACCAAAGGAATCCATCCCTTTCCCTCCAAAATAGCCTTCAACAGAACAAGCTAGCGTTTGGAACTGAAAGCTCACTGGAGGTCTGTGGGGCTTTGTTTCAGATAGGTT